CTCCCTCTTCTTTTGGCGTTCCCCGCCTCGTGTTCCGGTTAAGTAGTTTTTCATCTCATCTTCGCTTTCATCTCATCTTCATTCCCTTTTTCATCCTCCTGTCCATCTCACTCGTCTGGACCTTAGTCGTCCCACACTGCTACGGCAGGGTGTGTGTGTGTGTTAAACATCTGAACAGATGTAAAACTTCTAGCAGGGGGACGTTGCATACAATCAGGGACCACGTCCAAACGAAGCTACCTGATTGTATGGGATACAGAACCTGATCAGCTTTGCGTACCTGCTCAATTTCTTTACTTTGTATGGTAAGCGGCCAAGCCAGGAACAGCCCAGCCGTTTGGAGTTTTCGATGTTACTACATGGCATGCACGTTTGCCGCAATCTGGCATTTGACCTTATTTATTTTGTGTCTTGGCCGTCAGGTTTCTGTTCCTTGATCTTATGTATTTGGAACTTTGTGGCCAAGTTTCTGTTCATGATCTCGATTATTGGACTTCATCTTAACGATTGCATACTACTTCATGGACCGAGGTCTACCTGGGATCGATATTCGTGTTTGGTTGCACATTTTGGGAGTCAGTTCCCAACGGATCACTCCAGTGATCCAGTTTTTTTCTAGTGTGTGTGTTTGTTTGTTTGTCTGTCTGTCTGCCTGCCTGGCTGCCTGCCTGCATGCCTGCCTGCCTGGCTGGCTGGCCTGGCTGGCCTGGCTGGCTGGCTGGCTGGCTGGCTGTGTGTCTGTTCTGGCTGTCTGTCCTGTCTCTCTGTCTGTCCGTCCGTCCGTCCCTCCCTCCCTCCCTCGCTCCCTCCGTCGGTCTGTCTGTCTGTCTGTCTGTCTGTCTGTCTGTCCGTCCGTCCGTCCGTCCGTCCGTCCGTCCGTCCGTCTGTCTGTCTGTCTGTCTGTCTGTCTGTCTGTCTGTCTGTCTGTCTCTCTCTCTCTCTCTCTCTCTCTCTGTGGAGGCAGCTCACAGTGCAACCTTCAAGGCGTAAATGTTTTTGCTTCGAGGTCAAGTTGGACAGCCCAGAGACTGCAAAGGCCATCGCCACTGATGCAGCACAGGCTAATGACAGCAGCAACAGCACTGTACCTGCAACGCCTTCAAGCTCCACAAATTCGCCAAGTGCTGAAACTCAATCTGCCAATGGAACAGGCCTGAAAGGCAATGATTCCGCTGCAAACAAACCGGACGACATCCCCAAAGGTAGCAACGCATCCAAGGCTGGCAGCCAAGGTGGCAAGGTACCTGAAGGAGGCAACGCGCCCCAAGGGGGGAATGAGCCTGAAAAAGCCAACGCATCGCAAAGAGGCAATGTTTCTGCAGAGGGCGGCCTGCCTGATGGAAAGGGCCTCGAGTCGCAAGGTGGCAGCGTGCCTCGCGCAGGCAATGTGCCTGAGGGGGGCAATATGTCCGAAGAGGGCAATGTGTCTGAAGAGGGCGACGGGAACGATCGTCATAGCCCAGACATTGCAAGAGCCACGAAGGAACCTGCTGCTTTAGAGAAGCCTCATGCTGACGAGGTTCTCGAGGACAGACTGAAAATCCGAAGCCACATATTCAGGGTCCACAGGGCAGGGCCAAACCGTCGAGGGGTTTCACCACTTCCCTATGTCCCAAGCAGATTTTGATGTCACACTGCCACAGCTGGTGAGAGAGTGCGAAAGGGGGTGTGACGCTCTGCTTAAGCTTTCCAGTGCAAAGAATGACCCATCGAATGACAATAGAAAATCTTTCCAGTGAGGGCTCGAATCGCCCACCTTTCTATGGTGTTTTGACTTTCAGGACGCCTTCGACCACATGAGTTTTAGTCTCGAATCTTCCAGGCGCATGAGGGATGAAAGGACATGAGAGATGTCAGCTTTCATGTCTGTGAGATGTGTAAGTGTAAGCTTAATTGATCTATATTTCTATATTTCAAATATTGAGTAATTGACTCCGTATTTAGAGCAGGCAATTTTAAGTCTTCAAAAGAATGGCAGCCCTGGCAAAGGCAGCTCAGTCAGAGGCGTGGAGGATTTGGACGACGAGGAGGAACTTGTCGGGTGCTATAGAGTGCTATAGAGTGATACGGTGGACGTTGCGTGTGCAGCAACCCATTGAACAGAATGCAACTGTCATGTTTGTCATATTTTCTTGGATAAAATGGTGCCCTCCTGTGAGGATTCACCCCGTCTCGACGCAGATCATTCAGCCCATCCCGTCGCAGAACATTCAGCCCCCCGCGTCGCAGAACATTCAGCCCCCAGCGTCGCAGAACATTCAGCCCCCCACGTCGCCGAACCTTCCAATCTCCACGTCGCAGACGAAGCCTCTTGGCTGTGTGCACGTACAGTTGAGGTTATGACGCAAAAGGCTTCATTTTACTGGAAACCAGCAAATAACAAAAAAACAAACAAACCAAAAAACACAACCAAAAAAAACAAAAAAAAAACAAAAACTCCACAAAAACAATAAAAATACAATAAACAAAACAAACAACAATAAACAGCGCACGGTTTGAAACTCAGAGAGACTTTGTGCTTCTCCCTAATCGCCGCAGCTTGTTGTTTGTTTTGTTTATTGTATTTTTATTGTTTTTGTGGATTTTTTTGTTTGTTTTTTTTTTGGGTGTTTTTTTTCAAGAATTTTAATTATTTTCCATTTTCCAATGAATGAAGGTCCCTCGACGTCATAAGGTTGAGGATGTTTGAATGTTCAAAGACAGATTGAAACAGGTTCTCTGATGCTTTCAGACTTGTCGATTTCATAGCTGTCGGGTGATCCAGCCAGACCATCTTGCCCAAAGCATCCCAAAGCTCCCTGTATCAGTGCCTGATCACCTCTGTTTAGGCAGAAGGTCGGGCCGAGGTGAACAGCACCCTGCACGACTTGTCCATACGGTGCAAATATTTTACATGTGTATTAGTTCAATCAAGTAGACACCGGTCATGTCACTTGGTCACTGGACCGTTGAAGTGCCTCAGAAGAATCAGGGACTGTCAGAGCCTGGAGGCATTTAGCATCATTAGAATCATTAGTCAATGGCCATTTCAGGGACCTAAATTAGATGTACCTACATGTACCTACCATATATAAGGCCTATATAATATAAGGGCTATGTAGGGGAATTTCCCCACAACATATAGCTTATATGCGGCTTAGCGAGTCTTCAGAATCATTTTCCCTTGCTAATGACTTGAGACCCAAGGTGTGGGTCCATCATATCAGCTGCTTGGTAGTGAAATCCATCTCAGGACGTGAAGCTTTTACAACAGCCTTTTCTTGTCATTGTTTTTCCTCATCTTTTTAGGGATGTGGCCGAGTGGACACCCTTGTTATCTGCAAGTGAACGTGTGCCGTGCTAGACTCTTGGCTGTGATTGGCAATGACGTTTATGCCATGTTTAGGTCACCTCGAAGGAGGGCCCCTTGGCTACACTTGAGAATCTCAAGGCTTAGCGGAGCAAGGCGTATGTTACCAACCGTATGTTATCTTGGAGCAATGCGTCATCTTGTGTCATTGGGGAAAGCTTTCGCCAAATTGCCGTTCTTTGTTCCGGTGAGGGCTGGCAAAACCGCGCACACCCTGGTCCCCACTACAACTATCGTCCCCCAGCGGGGTACCAGCAGCGACCCTATGGATACCGCTGCAAGGCTGCAAGAGGAATAAGAATCAATCAAATTATCCTATTTATCCTGCCAGACGTGTCCAGGAATCGAGCATTTGTACGGTTATGTCGGTTGATGATAATCTACTATTATATAGAATTATATGACACTGTATGACATTGTTCCCAAAGGAAGTTGGGAAGCAATCTTCCGAGTTACAGATAAACTGTAATGCAGTAGCAATACATCACACAACAATACCTCACATAACAATACAACACACAACAAAACATCACATAACAATACAACACACAACAATACATCACACAACAAAACATCACACAACAATACCTCACACAACAATACATCACATAACAATACACCACACAACAATACATCACACAACAAAACATCACACAGCAATACATCACACAACAATACATCACACGACAAAACATCACACAACAATACAGCACACAACAATACATCACACAACAATACAGCACACAACACTACACCACGCAACAAAACATCACATAACAATACATCACACAACAACACATCACACGACAATACATCACACAACAATACAGCACACAACAATACAACACACAACAAAACATCACATAACAATACATCACACAACAACACATCACACAACAACACATCACATAACAATACATCACACAACAACACATCACACAACAAAACGTCACACAACAATACATCACACGACAAAACATCACACAACAATACAGCACACAACAATACAACACACAACAATACATCACATAACAGTACAATACGTCACACAACAATACATCACATAACAATGCATCACACAACAATACATCAAATACAACGCAAAACAATACATCACATAACAGTACAGCACGTCACACAACAATACATCACACAACAATACATCACACAACAATACATCACACACCAAGACATCACATCAAAGTAGGGAACGAAGGGTGGTGACGGAGGGAAGTGATGACATAGGGTGATGACGAAAGGTGGTGATGAAGGGTGATGACAAAGGATGGTGACTGAGGGAAGTGGTGACTCAGGGAAGTGGTAACCTTGTTTTTTTCATTTTTTTCCGTGTAAAGCGGCTGCAGGCGGCGATGAGGGGTACCTTGTGTGTGTGCGGCGGTTGCGGCTGGGGTCGTTCCGGGCGCGAATCAGTTCTTCCGTGGTGTTCTGCAATGTGTGGTTGTTCATGTGTGCGTAGCTCTATGCGCTTGTTGAGGCCCTGGTTGCAGATCGCAGTGTAATGGCTGCATGATTGTTGTCATGTTTGGTTGCCATGTGTGTCGAGACATGCGGGTTAGGCACATGATGCTGCAAAACGCATGTAGTGGCCATCTGCCGTGGTGCCGCGGCCGCGTGCGTAGTGCTATTGTCTTTTGTGGCTGAAAGGTGGGAATCGTATTGGAGTGGCTGCATCAAGGTTGGGATAGTGATCTGTCAGCAGATTTTCTCCATTTTGGTGCTTTTCCTTTTACAATTCCTTTTAAAAAAGCTTCAAAATCGTACGTTTTTCGCTTTGGCCTTGGCGACTGGATCCGGTTTTGGAGCTGCAATTTCTGCCGTCATTGTGTACGAGAGAGCTTCTCTGTGTAAAAACTACTTTGTGTAAAAGCTTGCTGTGTGTAAAATCTTTCAGAAACTTGCTGTCTGTAAAAACTTTCTTTGTGTAAATGCTTCTCTGCGTAAAAGCTTGCTGTGTGTAAAAGCTTTCTTTGTGTAAAAGCTTCTCTGCGTAAAGCAAAAAAGCATTCTTTGTGTAAAAGCTTTCTCTGTGTAAAAACTTGCTGTGTGTAAAGCTTTCTGTGTATAAAACCTTCTCTGTTTGTAAATGCTTCCCTGTCTAAAAGCTTCTCGGTGTAAAAGCGTCTCTGTGTAAAAGCTTGCTGTGTATAAAAGCTTGTTGATGCGTAACGCAATGTACTGGGATGTGCTTGTGCAACCTGCGCAGTACAAAGTAAGTACTGGTGCAAGCTTTGTAATACAAAGTAGTACTGGGCAGCGCTTCGTGCAAGCTTTGTAGTACATTCGTGCAAGTTTTGCAGTACAAAGTAGTACTGAGACGTGCCCTTTGCAAGCTTTGTAGTACAAAGTAGTACTGGGAAGTGCTTTGTGCAAGCTTAGTAGTACAAAGTAATACTGGGAAGTGCTTTGTGCAAACTTTGTAGTACAAAGTAGTACTGGGAAGTACTTTGTGCAAACTCTGTACTACAGAGTAGTACTGGGACGTGCTTTGTGCAAGCTTTGTAGTACATTGGTGCAAGCTTTGCAGTACAAAGTAGTACTGAGACGTGCCCTTTGCAAGCTTTGTAGTACAAAGTAGTACTGGGAAGTGCTTTGTGCAAGCTTAGTAGTACAAAGTAATACTGGGAAGTGCTTTGTGCAAACTTTGTAGTACAAAGGTAGTACTGTACTGGGAAGTACTTTGTGCATGCTTTGTAGTACAAAGTAGTACTGGGACGTGCTTTGTGCAAGCTTTGTAGTACAAAGTAGTACCGGGAAGCGCTTTGTGCAAGCTTTGTAGTACATTGGTGCAAGCTTTGCAGTACAAAGTAGTACTGAGACGTGCCCTTTGCAATGTTTGTAATACAAAGTAGTAGTGGTAAGTGCTGCGTGCAAGCTTTGTAGTACAAAGTAGTACTGGGATGTGCTTTGTGCAAGCTTTGTAGTACAAAGTAGTACTGGGACGTGCTTTGTGCAAACTTTGGAGTACAAAGTGGTACTGGGGAGTACTTTGTGCAAGCTTTGTAGTACATTGGTGCAAGCTTTGCAGTACAAAGTAGTACTGAGACGTGCCCTTTGCAAGCTTTGTAATACAAAGTAGTAGTGGTAAGTGCTGCGTGCAAGCTTTGTAGTACAAAGTAGTACTGGGATGTGCTTTGTGCAAGCTTTGTAGTACAAAGTAGTACCGGGAAGCGCTTTGTGCAAGCTTTGTAGTACATTGGTGCAAGCTTTGCAGTACAAAGTAGTACTGAGACGTGCCCTTTGCAAGCTTTGTAATACAAAGTAGTAGTGGTAAGTGCTGCGTGCAAGCTTTGTAGTACAAAGTAGTACTGGGATGTGCTTTGTGCAAGCTTTGTAGTACAAAGTAGTACTGGGACGTGCTTTGTGCAAACTTTGGAGTACAAAGTGGTACTGGGGAGTACTTTGTGCAAGCTTTGTCAGTAGTACAAAGTAGTACTGGGACGTGCTTTGTGCAAACTTTGTAGTACAAAGTGCTAGTACAAAGTAGTACTGGGGAGTACTTCATGCAAACTTTGTAATACAAAGTAGTAGTGGCAAGTGCTGCGTGCAAGCTTTGTAGTACAAAGTAGTACTGGGATGTGCTTTGTGCAAGCTTTGTAGTACAAAGTAGTGCTGGGACGTGCTTTGTGCAAGCTTTGTAGTACAAGGTAGTACTGGGACGTACTTTGTGCAAGCTTTGTAGTGCAAATAGTACTGGGACGTGCTTTGTGCAAACTTTGTAGTACAAAGTAGTACTGAGGAGTACTTGGTGCAAGCTTTGTCAGTAGTACAAAGTAGTGCTGGGAGGTGCTTTGTGCATGCTTTGTTGTACAAAGTAGTACTCGGACGTGCTTTGTGCAAACTTTGTAGTACAAAGTAGCACTGGGAAGTGCTTTGTGCATGCTTTGTAGTACAAAGTATGTTCAAAGGTTTTTCTGTGTAAATGATCCGTGTCTCAAGCTTCTGTGTGAAAAGGGTTTGTGCGCCCACTGTTTTTTGTGCAACAAATTTGTCTCTGACAGTAAGAGCTTTCTGGCGTGCAGAACGGCTGAGATGAGTTGAGAAGAATTTCGAGGAGATGAGAAAGGTTGATCAGTTCTTGGATGAGATGAAAGCAATTGAGAAGAAATTACTTAGATGACATGTGAGAAGAGATAGGATGAGATGAAGGGTTAGGGGTATCCTAAGACCCGGCCATGAAGAGATAGGATGAGATGAGAAGAGCTGGGGTGAGGTGAGATGAGGTGAGATGAGGTGAGAAGAGCTCACATGATTTGATATGAGATGAAGTGTGGAATGCCAAGTGTGAAGTGTGAAGTGCGGGGTGTGAGAGGTGCAGTGCGAGGCGTGAAGAAAGTGTTCGCTTGGCGTTGCATTGCGCCGGGGCCGCGCGCAGGTCATGCTCTTGGACAACAACGGCGCAACAGGTTCGCACAAAGCACGCACGCACGCACGCGGGTGGCTGGCGCACGGCGCATGCAAGTTCTGCAAACTATACATGAGAAAGGTTTTATAGTACAACTCTAAGGCAACTTCCGCCCCGCCTCGTGCGGGCATTACTGGTATGTTGTTTATCACGCAGATGGGCGCTGGCCTATCCATATATGTTGCTCTCAGTACTATCATTGCACTATCGAAATGGTGTCGCCGGTGTCGCCTTTGGTGACTAGAAAAAGGGTAGAAGATACCGAAAATAGGGTCAGCTGAGGGACGGACAACTACTACAGACCCCATCAAGGAAATGGTGCGAAGATGCTTGGCGTAATTTATTCGGAGTTGTGCAGCATGAGTTGCGGTTAAATTAAGACGGTTAAGTTAAACACAACCCACCGCTGCAAGTCGCATTTTCCTGCAGCATGTCCCTGTACTTCAGAGGATCGCCATGGCTGGCGCAGCTGGCTTTGTTGGCGGAGCTGCGGTGGGACACATGGTCTCCAGCAGCAGGCAACTAATGCGTTTTGCATCGTTTTGCTTTGCATGATTTCATGTCGATTTATATGCGTACTGTCAATTATAATGCTTGTGCACATTGATGCACTTCTTGACACTTGGAAAAACAGTATAATCCTTGGCCTTTGTTTTGGTGGGGGGCGCAGAAAAAATGTGATTTACAATAAACCATGGGGAGGGGGCGGTAAAAATTGTAAATTAAGATCCGGAGGTCAAAAGCAGGGGGGAGGGGGGGGTGGGCCAAAATGTAACAAGTGAGATGGAAGATCTTAACCAACGTATTAGGACCCCTTCGTTCATGGTAAAATCAAAAAAATGAAGGAATTTAGAATGGATACTACGGATACTATATGTTGGAATATTTTGGAATATCATGCTTGATCATGGATCGCCGTTAGGTGTCCTGAGCTGAAAAACTAATTAGAGCTCACACCACATGTTTTCAACCAGGACATTTTGCCAGAGGAAAAAATGTAAGTTGGGCTTGGTTGGGTATACCACACCCTTGGTATTCGGAGGTCAGATTGCTCAAAAACAACCAGCCCTGCCAAAAAAAAACAAATGATTTTTTTTTTTGTTTGCCAGCCTTTTGAGGCCACTTGATGCGAGATGATTCTGACTGATTTGAAATTTTGTCAAAATCAGTCAACATTTTTTTAAAATCAACTCGCTGATAATCATTTTTGAGCGTTTCTTGGGAAGATTCCGACGCCGGAGAACATGTAAGCTGGGCTTGGCTAGGCGGCTAGGTGTTCAAAATCATTGGCAGCCTTGTCATTTTCAGGTCAAATTCCACAGTAGCAACCAGCAAGAAACAAAAAACAACTGCATTCAAATACAACAATCAACACCCACCAACGTCAATCAACATCAATCAAAATCAATCACCTACCAGCATGAATAGGATGAGGTTTGATTAACTGATCATCAAGAATCAGAAACTCAATTGGGAAACAGCACGTGCTGAACATCCAAGATGGTGATGTGGAACAGATGCGTGAAGAAAGTGAGTGGCAGTAAAGGACGATGTTTTTTTGCAAGCGTAGTTTGATGTTGTTTGGTCCATGCCACTGCATTGGATGTGCGATGCACTTTCCTAACTTATATTTTTCATTTTTGGATTTGAGGAAATTTCCCCTTGGAAAATGTAAAAGTAATATTACAATTTACAATAATTCCCCCCTCCTCTAAGGGGTGGGGATTGTATAATTACTCGACCTGTGCTGCATGTGAACATTCGTTGCGTGGACACATGAGACTCTGGTGACATCCAGCACACAGCCATTGAGCAGAAGACAAATAATTGCGATGAGATAAATGGTGGACGACAATGACCGGCCAAGTGACAAGAGTGGAGGTACAGCCGATGGAATACAATGACCTATGGACGCAGGAATGGGCAAAATCAAAGCACAGAGCCCCAGACTGCGCAACCGAGCGAACCAAGATACTGAGATACTGTATCAATCTGCATGATTTTGTATCCCTAGAGCGACCTGTGCAAGTTTCCAAGGCCGTTTGGGCAAAGAATGCTACTTGGCATTTTATACTCCGTGCTCACATTTCAAGGTCCGGTGCAAAGAGCGCACAACTTTGCACACGCACGCGCAGACATGGTATGTCTGTAGTATGTCACAGTATTTGCGGAAATCACACAAACAAATGCATATTTGATCATATTTGAATCTCTCTGTCCTCTTTGTTTTCTTATACCTGCACAGACATGCGTCCTTTGGTCCTTGGTTTTCTTGACATTTTCGAACACCACGCGTTGGACAAGTAGTTAAACAAATAGTTGGACAGCGTTCTGTTTTTTTCCTTCAATTGTGCTGAGGTCATTTCCAAGACTTCACGGGCGATTGTAGCACCTGCTTCAAGCGCTTTGGAGCTGAAAACTGCAGGGTCAACTATGACTACCCAGAGGCAGGGGGGTGAGTAGGCTCTCTTGTTGTTTTGAACGTTTCAAGAGATGAACCATGCGCAGAGATGGAAGGGTATAGACAAGCAGAATAGGAGGGCAAATCAAAGCCTTCTCAGGTCTTTATCAGCTCAAAACAAATTTTCCCCGGCATAGTCCACGAGCAAAAAATGCCGCCACCGATCGGAACCTACCAATGGCATTCCGAATGATTCCCAGCCAAGGCTGCAAGCCGTGATGATCTCATGGCCACTGCCTTCCTTCCCAGGGACTATTCACGCCACTTGAATTGGCCAAATGCTGGGAGAGCTGTAGATGATAGGAAAGACATGGAAAGACTAAGCATAGTGGAGCGATGTGTTCAGCAGGATTTGGAAATTTGGGATCATGATTTCCTTGCTGCTTCTGTTGAACTCTCTGGGATGGCTATGGAGAGAGAGAGAGATTTCCTTGCTGCTGATTGAGCCTGTTGTTGCCTTTTTTGATTGTGGCACAGTTTGAAGCGCCGCACAATCTGAGCGGATCATTAGAATTGGACAATTCTTGGTGCAACTTGCTTCTGTAGGTGCTTTGCGTGTAACGTTGACAAAGTGCCTCGGAGAGCGATCGAGAGTGTGGTGGGATAGCGGCTGGTAGAGAACGGTGGAGAAAATCAGAATGACAGACAGAAAAGACAGTGACAGACATCGGGACATGCAGAGAGATTGCAGTTATACCCTGCGATATCCTGTTGAAAGGATCGCCGGTCCTGATCTTGCAAAGGATGCTTGGCGTCAGCAGTTACCTTGAATGTACTTGAATGTACTTGAAGTCTTGTACCTGTTGCATTCTGTTAGTAGATCTAGAAGCGGAGCGCCGCTCAGAGATATGGCTGGCCGAGGAGCGGATCTGTCCTCCAGATGGGTGGCATTGGGATCCAAAGCTGTTTCTTGGTTGAACTTTCGATTTAGCGGTGTCGCGGATAGGGTGAACGAAACGGAACAAATATGTTCGTCATTGTTCATCCTATTTCATCCTATTTCATCGTTCGGTGTTTTAAACTGGACAACCCAAAAGGTTGGACACTCTCTTCTTGGGCATGGCAATCCTAACTCGCATGGTCCATCTGTCGAACTTGCAGCCAAAGGTATTCTTGAGGTCATTGCTGCTAGTACTGTTGACGTTTCCACAGAGTCTTAGTCTTGGGTTCACCTCACAATAGCATGGTTTGATTGGCCTTGCTATTCTTCTTATCATTCCTTCTTATAGATTCTTATGGCCGTTTTAAGGAGCAACTACACCGGGAAGTGGGTGCCTCCGGAGCGCTTGTGCTGTGCTTGCGATATCTTGCGATACCCACGGAGCATAGGCAAGACTTGCAGTTGAACCTGTTTTCGTGGCAGGACAAGCAGGATATTTTCATCACCTTGACGAAAGTAGAGAAAGAGGTTCAAGCACCGGCACCGTCACCGCCCGACAAGCCGAGACAGAGACCCGCACGCTCTGGAAAGGTTTCTTGGTTATCGAGAAACGACATCATTCCACTTGTATCCACTTGTTCATTCAATCATCCGGGCTGGGACGGAGAACCCACTCCAGACCCAGTCTCCGTGTGTATAGATGTTATCGAAGGAAGTTTAGAAGTCAAACTTCCGACAATCTGGACAGATGAAGCAGCAGAGGTGGGAAGAGGCAGAGAAGAGAAAGAGTCATAAGAGAAGAAGTCAGAAGAGAACGAGTGAGTAGAAAGAAGATGAAGGTGCACGAAAAGGTAGAAAAGTCGCGAAACACTGCTTTTTTCTGCCGTTTCGTGGCTCCGGAAGGTCGAAAAGTAGGCTCGCTAAAGCAGATGTGGAGCCATTTGGCAGGAGGAGAGATAAAAAATTGCACGCCGTTGTGGCGTGAAGCGGATTCGGAAGTCAAAACGCTAAAAACACCTCATTCTCCGAGCACTTTTGAAAGTTGAGATGTCGAAAAAGTGCACGTGGCTGTGGCGCGAAGCACATTTCGAAGTCAAAAGTGTTAACAAACTGATGATCTCGGAAAACTTTTGGAAGTTGAGATGTTGAAAACATGAACGCGGGCGTGGCACGAAACACATTTCAAAGTGAAAATGGTAAAGACACCACATGTTCGGACCACTTTTGGACGTTGAATCGTCTTTTTTCATAGCAACTACATTTACAACTTCAGCTGCAACTGCAACGACAGGTACAAGTAATTACAACTACAACTACAACTGCAATTACAACTACTGCACCTATTGGCACCTACAGTTCAACTGCAACTACAACTACTGCTGCAACTACAAATACAACTGCAACTGCAACTACACTACTGTACACTACACTAGATTGCCGTGCACGACACTGCACTGCACTACACTACGCTACAACTACAGCTGCACAACTACACCTTCAACTGCAGCTACACTAGACTACATCTACGACCCTACAACTACAACTACGGCTGCATAGACGAGAAGGTGACAGAGAGAGAGAGAGAGAGAGACTCAGAGCGTCAACCACGTTTCAGTCCATCAATTCGTTCTGCCATCCGTGCATCACAACAACTGACCTCTCCTATAGGTTGCCTATCTTTGAAGCTTCCGCCACCACCTTGTGCGGTACTACTGGCATGATGTTATATGAATTACATTCATTAGACATCCCCCTTGCCATTTCCTCCACAGAATGGGAGGGGTTGGGGTGCCTATAGGGCACCATTCTGTGGAAAGTAGGGGCTGGAAATGGGGTCGAGCATGCCATTTTGTAGTAATTTGTGGGTTTTACCTGGTTTTATCGTGTTTTATCATTTTTGTTTTGAAGGCATGATCATTTATGGGCACCAAGACAACCATTTTGTAACAAACAAAAAGCCATTTTGTAGATGTTTTTAAGGGTATGATTTGGTGGTTTTTAAAGAATGTGAATTAGTCATTGACAAAGAAAAATCAGCTAGCCATTCTGTAGAGAACCCATCGTTTCAACAAATGTACCATTTTGTAAGTGCATATTTGTGTTTGCAATGGTTGGCTCGGAAACACTTTAGGACCATTCTTCTCCTGATCTTCGTTTTTGCTTCGGGACCGTTTTTGTGACTGGAGCCGGAAAAAGTTTCCATCTGCAGAAGGATTGCCGGCACATTGTTGGCAAAAAAATAGGAAAAATATTCATGCTGCAAAAGTTGCATGAAAAAACTTGGATCCACCTCCGACAAGGATGAGTGAAGATGGACTAGAGGGTAAAAACCCTACAAAATGGCACTGGGAAAAAGGCAGTTGACGCTGAGGTCTTGCCAAGATAGGAGCTCTACAAAATGGCTCTTGGATTTTTTAAATGTTTTTCCCGAGAGCGTCTGAGCGCAGGGTTCTTCCAATAGTGGGGGTCTGTAAAACACCTTCTCATCTTCACACCTTCTCATCTTCTCATCTTCACATCTTCTCATCCCCCACATCTTCTCCTCATCTTCTCATCTTCACATCTTCTCATCTTCACATCTTCTCATCTTCACATCTTCTCCTCATCTTCTCATCTTCTCCTCATCTTCTCATCTTCTCCTCATCTTCTCATCCCCCACATCTTCTCCTCATCTTCTCATCTTCACATCTTCTCATCTTCACATCTTCTCACATCTTCTCACATCTTCTCATCTTCACATCTTCTCATCTTCACATCTTCTCATCTTCACATCTTCTCATCTTCTCACATCTTCTCCCATCTTCTCCCATCTTCTCACATCTTCTCACATCTTCTCACATCTTCTCACATCTTCTCACATCTTCTCACGTCTTCTCACATCTTCTCACATCTTCACATCTTCTCACATCTTCTCACATCTTCTCACATCTTCTCACGTCTTCTCACATCTTCTCACATCTTCTCATCTTCACATCTTCTCATCTCACATCTTCTCCTCTTGCCCTCTTGCCCTCTTGCCCTCTTGCCCTCTTGCCCTCTCCTTCTTTTCTATTTCTCTTCTGAAGGCGGGGGCAGGGGCAGTGCCAACGAGACGGCACGAAACGCAACCCTTTCGCACGAAATGAGGTTCGAGCGCCAAAAACTGAGGTAGAACTGCGATTTCAAGGTGTCCCGCGCAACCCTTTCGCACGAAATGAGGTTCGATCGTCAAAAACTGAGGTAAAATTGCGATTTGCAAGTCGTCCGGCGCAACCCTTTCGCACGAAATGAGGTTCGAGCGCCAAAAACTGAGGTAAAATTGCGATTTGCAAGTCTTCCGGCGCAACCCTTTCGCACGAAATGAGGTTCGAGCGCCAAAAACTGAGGTAAAAGTGAGAGTTCAAGTCGTCCCGCGCAACCCTTTCGCACGAAATGAGGTTCGATCGCCAAAAACTGAGGTAAAATTGCGATTGCCGGGTTCCCGTTGCAACCCTTTCGCACGAAATGATGGTCGATCGCCAAAAATTGAGGTAAAATTGCGATTTTTTCTGTGTGTACAAAGCTTCTTTGTGCTGTGTGTCAAAGCTTCTGTGTGTAAAAGCATCTGTGTGTAAAAGCCTCTGTGATGCAAAAGCGTCTCTGTGTAAAAGCTTCTGTGTGTAAAAGCGTCTGTGTGTAAAAGCGTCTGTGTGTAAAAGCGTCTGTGTGTAAAAGTGTCTGCGTGTAAAAGCGTCTGTGTAAAAGCGTCTGCTTAAAAGCTTCTGTGTGCTCTGTGTAAAAGCGTCTGTGTGTAAAAGCGCCTGTGTGTAAAAGTGTCTGTGTGTAAAAGTGTCTGTGTGTAAATGTTTCTGTGCGTGTAAAAGCGTCTGTGTGTAAAAGCGCCTGTATGTAAAAGTGATTGTGTGTAAAAGCGCTTGTGTGTAAAACCGTCTGTGTGTAAAAGCGTCTGTGTGTAAAAGCTTCTGTGTGTAAAAGTTTCTGTGTGTAAAAGCTTTTGTGTGTAAAAGCGTCTGTGTAAAAGCCCCTGTGTGTAAAAGCGTCTGTGTGTAAAAGCGTCTGTGTGTAAAAGCTTCTGTGTGTAAAAGCTTCTGTGTGTAAAAGTTTCTGTGTGTAAAAGCGTCTGTGTGTAAAAGCGCCTGTATGTAAAAGTGATTGTGTGTAAAAGCGCTTGTGTGTAAAACCGTCTGTGTGTAAAAGCGTTTGTGTGTAAAAGCTTCTGTGTGTAAAAGCGTCTGTGTGTAAAAGCTTCTGCGTGTAAAAGCGTCTGTGTGTAAAAGTGTTTGTGTGTAAAAGTGTTTGTATGTAACTGTAAAAGTGTTTGTGTGTAAAAGTGCCTGTGTGTCAAAGCGTCTATGTGTAAAAGCTTCTGTTTGTAAAAGTTTTTGTGTGTAAAAGCGTCTGCGTGTAAACGCTTCTGTGTGTAAAAGCTCCTGTGTGTAAAAGGGTCTTTGTTAAAAGTGTCTGTGTGTAAAAGTGTCTGTGTGTAAAAGTGTCTGTGTGTAAAAGTGTCTGTGTGTAAAAGCATCTGTGTAAAAGCGTATGCGTGTAAAAGCTTCTGTCTGTAAAAGCTTCTGTGGGTAAAAGCTTTGTGTGTAAAAGTGTCTGTGTAAAAGCGTCTGTGTGTAAAAGCTTCTGTGTGTAAAAGCTTTTGTGTGTACAAGCGTCTGTGTGTAAAAGGGTCTATGTGTGAAAGTGTCTGTCTGTAAAAGCTTCTGTGTGTGAAAGCTTTTGTGTGTAAAAGCTTCTGTGTGAGAAAGCTTCTGTGTGTAAAAGTGTTTGCGATGCAAACTATTGTCTTGCACTTCTGCTATTTTGTCTTAATACTCCTCTTCTCGACTGCCTATAACACATCTTTAATATATTGTTTCTAATATGGTGTCTCCATACTAACAAGAGAAGACCCTGCTCCTCTACGCTCTCGGGCCATCCGTCGTCTAGTATAAGATCATGAATGCACTGGTTTGATCATTTTCGACAAAATTGTCAATATATTTGTGGATCAAAGCAGGTGACAGGCACTACCATTTTGCAGAGCCATGGGTTATAGACAGACCATTTTGTAGGATGGAGACTCTGTACCGGAGCCATTTTGTAGAGAAAGGGTTGGTTCACTACAAAATGGGGCACCCCAACCCCACCCAGGGAATGGAAGGAGGATCATTGGACATATATACTTTACACGTATCCAGCTCTCGTGCATCCAGCACAAAGTGTTCTGAGGATGCCATGATGAAAACTTTGATGCTTGGACAGCATTGCCTTTATTTTGTGATGTGTTGTGACAAAAAAACGGCTTATGATTTATGCAGAGTAAGGGTTTTCCATGAGCCAACCCTTCCTTCTCCAAGTTCAGGTACATTTTTTTCGCAATTGCGAGCAGATTCCAAGCTGCATTCACGATGAATTTAGTCATTTGTCCAGACGCATGGCAGCCAAACCCAATGACTTTCGCACTTAGGATGTCGCGCGAGCAATGAACATTTTTTGGGAACACTTTTGATCCAGTCCTGGTTTTATGCACCTGTTATATAGTTGGGCAGTGGATGTTTAGGCCAGGTTCAGGCAGAAGTTTTGTCAGTCAGTCTTAGAAATATGCTCGTTCCAGCCAAGTCATTCTACTTGTTTGCTTGTGTTGCTGCTGCGGCGGCAACAAGTCAGCTCAGCCCCAGAGCGGACCAAATGAAATGGAGATACTTATCCGCACGATAGCTTGGAGTGCCACCTGTGACCTGACTTTTTCAAATATTTCAAAATAACTATATAGAGTCAAAAACTCTTGTGGCAAGAGATCTTGAGAAACGTGCCAGAATGCGCAACAGATAGATTGAATAAGGTTCACATATATATATATATACTCAAAGACTTCAATACGGCTCTTCGCTCGTGGCTCCCCAGGATGGAGGGCTTTTCCAGCAGACCGATGGCTCGGTTTTCTGCTCCTGTGCAGCTTGACCTTGATCACAAGAAGCTGAAGGTAGAACACAGAAGATCGCTCAAACATGCGCGAAACGCGAAACCATTAATGTATGATCGAAGGAAGTTTAGAAGTCTAACTTCCGACAACATGGACAGATGAAAAGCAGAGATGGGAAGAGTCAGAGAGAAGAGAAGAGTAGAAGAGAGAAGAGTAGAAGAGAGAAGATCAGAGAAGAGAAAGAGTCAGAAGAAAGAAGATGCAGGTGCGCGAAAAGGTAGGAAAGTCGCGAAATGCTATGTTTTTCCAATGATTTGTGGCTCCGGAGGGTCGAAAAGTAGACTTGCTAAAGCGGTGGATGCGGTGGGTGCGGAGTCATCTGGATAGAAGAGAGATGAAAAATTGCGCGCCGTTGTGGCGCGAAGCACATTTCGGAGTCAAAATGCACAAAGCACACCAGGTCCGGACCACTATTGGAAGTTGAGACGTCGAAAAAGTGCACGCCGTTGTGGCGCGAAGCACATGTCAAAGTCAAAATGTACAAAGCACTTCAGCTTCGGACACTTTTAAGAGTTGCGGTGTGGAAACAGTGCACGCGGTTTTAGCGCGAAACACAATTGCAAGTGAAAAAGTAAAAACACCTCACGTTCGGACCACTTTTGGAAGTTGAGCCGTTGAAAAAGTGCACGCCGTTGTGGCGCGAAGCACATGTCGAAAAAGTGCACGCTGTTGTGGCGCGAAGCACATTTCGAAGTCAAAATGTTAAAAGCACCCGGGGTTCGGACCACTTTTTGGAGGTTCAGATGTGCTTTCGCGTGGCAGGCGCAAGGGATTGTGCACCTTGTCAAAAGTGAGCAAAACGTGGCGGTTTTGTAGCATTTCCAAAAACGATGGCAGGCGTGGGACATTCGAACAGGATCTGCAAAGATGCATTTTCCGTGGCAGGCGCAGTACAAGAGACATGTTCATCAGAGCTGTTAGGAGGTGCCTGCGCTGATTTCTTGAGAGGGGGTGCATTTTGGAGCCTGAGATCTCCAGGTTTGCTGAGATGATTTGGCGTAACAGGTGCAGCACTTCGTTTGACCTGGCATCACTTTTTCGTGGCAGGCGCAGTAGTTTAGACATATGGATTGGAAAAATTGCAAAACTCCTTGGTACGAGGCCGTCAGCGCTAACTTTCCATTCTTGAAGGATGCTTCGTTTTTGACGTTGTCAAGTTGAAATATTGAGGGAGTGTCGCTGAATTGCTGCGTTTTTGGATGTTGTCAAGTTCAAAAACTGAGGAAGTCTCGCAGAATAGCTTCGTTTTCAATCTTGCAGATAGATAGATAGATAGACAGACAGACAGACAGACAGACAGAGAGAGAGAGAGAGATAGATGGATACATGGATAGATAGGTGGGTAGGTAGGTGGGTAGGTAGGTAGACAGTCAGAGAAAGAGACAGAAAGAAAGAGAAAAAAAGGAGACATCAATCACCTTTCGATCCATCAGTGGCTTTGCTCTGCCATCCGTGATTCACAACAACCAACCTCTCCTACAGGTTTCCTATTGTTGAAACTTCCGCCACCGCCTTGTGCGGTACCACTGGTAATCTATGATAATTTATGATAATAATTGATAATATATAATGATTTAATCCAATTTAGTCATATTTGTAGGGCAGGCAAGAGAACACGCGTTTTCCCTTTGGATACACCGGAAGTTGTTGAATTGCTTGAAAGCACGGAGAGGGATAGCAGGATGCTTCAGGAGCCACCTGGAGGGTAGCATGAAGTGATCATACACGAGCGCTTCGATCACAAACACAAATATTCAAATAACGTAATTCATTTCAATTTGCTTTAAAAAAAATATAACAGTCAACATCTATATTTGTCAGGCGACACGTGGGGATGCATGATGATTTTCTTATTCAACTTGCTCAGGATGATATCAAATGGCCACTTAGTGGTAAACTGCGATAAAGAAGCAGGTGACTGGTGACTATGTTTGCCCAACGCAAAGTTGATAGTCAATAGTCGATTTGTACCACATTTGTACAATTTGGTACGGCTCACCTAGACCGGGCATGGCAGCGCCTGTCGGAATGCAGCCTCCTATGTTCGCAGGGAGTGCGGCTGTGAGACTTGGACATCGTCAGATGAAGTTCAGAGCAATGAATCAGTTGGTCGAGTCATTTTGTTGCGTTTCGATTTTGGTTTCGACAACCCCAGTAGAATCCAACATATTTTTCAACACATTCACAATGATATGAGATTTGTACCACATTTGTACAATTTGGTACGGCTCACCTAGACCGGGCATGGCAGCGCCTGTCGGAATGCAGCCTCCTATGTTCGCAGGGAGTGCGGCTGTGAGACTTGGACATCGTCAGATGAAGTTCAGAGCAATGAATCAGTTGGTCGAGTCATTTTGTCACGAAAGCTAGCGTCAGCTCGCTAGAGTCTTCTTGCTTTAGCAGTATTCCGGGGGCTGCTCAAGGACATGGCGTGATTTTTCACGCGAAAGTGCCCCCCCTCCTCCCCCCCCACCACCACCACCATCATCATCATCATCGTCATCATCATCGTCATCATCATCATCGTCATCATCGTCATCATCACCATCGTCATCATCATCTTCTTCATTCATCATTCATCATTCATCATTCATCATTCATCATTCATCATCATCATCATCATCATCATCATCATCGTCATCATCATTGTCATTGTCATCGTCATCGTCATCGTCGTCATCATCAGCATCATCATCATCATCATCTTCATCATCATCATCATCATCTTCATCATTCATCATTCATCATTCATCATTCACCAATCATCATCATCATCATCAGCATCATCATCATCATCATCATTATTCAATTACATTTTATCATTATTGGCAGTTCTTGGCATTATCACGAAAGCTAGCGTCAGCTCGCTAGAGTCTTCTTGTTTTAGCAAGTATTCCGGGGCTCCCCAAGGACATCACGTGCTTTTTCACGCGAAAGGGCCCCCCCCCTGCCCCCTCCCCCTTATATATCATTGTTACATATCATATATCATATATCATTGTTGCATCCTCGTTGGGACGAACCATGCCGCGACACGATGATGACAGTCCCTCCGCAACTCACCTCTTCCCTTCCTTCTTTCTCCTACCCCGCTAGCTTTCGTCATCCACCCCCGGCCTCAAGTTGCGTTTCGATTTTGGTTTCGACAACCCCAGTAGAATCCATTTTTTTTCAACACATTCACAATGATATGAGACAAGTGAATACAAGTGATATATACAGATACATTCATAAAATACATGCTGCACACTGTACATATCAGGCAAATTGGGCGCAGTTCTGTCCTGACCACCCAAGGACTGCAAGTGCAGTGGGCACTCGAGGAACAGCCACTGCCGCTGGTTTGGCCCCAAATTCGGTGACATGGCTTTGGTAGCTTGAGTGTGCTCAGACTATACTTGGCCCGGGTTTTCTCCACATTTATGTTTGTATTCTGTGTCAAGGTATGCCATGGCAACCAGTTCATATTTTGGTTTCTTGAGTTTATGTATTTTCCCCGTTCTACGAGAGACGGTTGCGGTTCTGATTAGGTGAGGACATGCCCGCATATGCATCCTTTGCGAGCGGAGTTGAATCAATCGCATGAGAAGCTTGTTTGATCTTGTCTGTGCTCATCTGACCGATGTCAACTCATGTGAGGTCATGGCAAATCAAGCCGAAACAGTGTGAAACGTTCTTACAGCAGTTTGCTGAGATGTTCTTTAGTGCAGAAGCATCGTAATTTAATTGGTCAACATGGTTGAACCATGTTGAACCTAAGGACCAACTGTGATGAGTGCCACAAGGAGCAAGACTACGGGCATCAGGTTTACCGTTGCGAAGCTTGTCTTGAAGCTGAGACAATTCATCGCGTGTGGCAACCATTGGTCACCTGTACTCGCGCTAGGTCCTGCAACAGAGAGGCAGTTCAAGGCCTTCAGGGCTCCTGTTTAGAAAGATTTTTGGCGCAGTGCACTGACATGCACTGACCATTTCCATTGACGGCAGTTGTTTCCCCACTGCGACAAAGGAGCGCTCTATGGCACTCAGGATCCGTGCGACTTCGACGTTTGCTCAAGGTGCATTCAACTCACAAGCTTCATAGATGAGCCTGCCTACGAAGGACCTGCTTTGCTCGCATACGATCAAATCCATTCAAATCCAATAAATCAGCATGTGGCCTTTAGCTCCCTGTGCAACCTGTGTAGCTATGAATCACGATAGTTTCTCACGTAGTGGCATGCTGTTGCATGAGCGTGCAGACAACACCAATCCAATGGTGAGCAGCATCAACATGCGCAACTGATCATAGCTGCAACATACCAGACACAGAGATTTGAGGAACAACGAGCTGGAAGAATTTTCTGGTTAACGAGCCCATCGTCCAGACCTTAGACTTGAATTAGACTTGAGACTTGAGGACTTGAGGTGTGCATTTTTGAGCCGATGAAAATTGATGCAAGCTGAAAGATGCTGAAAGCTTAACCTGTTGAAACTCAGATAACTCAGGTGGATTCTCAGGGCTTGTTAGCTGGGCCTTGGGGTGATGCGCTCCGAGCTGCTGTGCCATGGTCACATGTGGCGCACAGGGATGAGGGCGATGAGGGCGTGAAGTGATAGCAGCTGGTAGCGATGCAAAAGAAGGAGACCTTTGGATCCTTTGGCAGCTTCATGCAGCTTCATGCAGCTTCATGCAGCTTCATGCAGCTTCATGCAGCTTCATGCAGCTTCAGCCCACAGAGATCCATAGTTGAAAGCTGTCATGAGAAGATGAACCGCGAGACAGTTATACTGCAGAAATAACATGATAGTCTATCGTAGTGTATTTATGTATTTAAATAAATATCTAAACATATTCACACTGTTCGGTGGGGAAGAGTCAATGGTGAATGTCGCCGAAACACGGCCCCACTCTCTTAATGAATCTCACACGTGTCACTCATGTCAAGAAAGGTAGCCTCAGCTACCTGAATTAATGTCCGTTAGCACTAGTGCGGTCCATTGTGCTACATTTATTGTGCCTGTTTTTTGGGATTGACCGTGGGGGTGGGGACTCCGCAAAAGATACCTTTCTTGCTGATTTTGCGTTGTATACTTGTTTGTCCACACAGAGTGCCCAAGTTCATCATTGTCTCCCTCTTTCAAAATATACCCCATCATATGTTTCCTGGCACAGGGTTTTTCGCTACTGATGACACCCCTCTACATTTCGTCCACCCCTCTCAAGTCACTGCATCCGAAGCGTATCAAATCACATCGAATCCTATCATTTAATCCTGCAGGGCAGCCTCACAGCCATCACGGCTGTTACAACATGTCACAACCATCGCGCTGCATCATCGGTTTTCTCATCAGGTGCTCTATGAGGTGCGTCAGCCATCGTGGCCACAAGAAGAGCGCTTTTTAGAAGACCGAAATGGACCAGCTGGCCAAGTCATTGCGTTCTTGGAAGCAAAGGGACCCTTGGCGGATGAAGTTTCAAAGTTACCAAAAATGTAAAGTTTGCATTTTCCCAGTGCTTACTTTGCGCTGCTGCCATCCATTGTCATACCATTTCATACCCACTTGTCAAACAGACTGCAGAAGCGCTAGCAGGCAAGAGCCCCGAAAGAAAATCACACCCCTGACATCCCTTGACTGACATTCTGCAAGACAGGCGACCGAGCTCTCAGGGTTTGTGGGAAGGTAGGCCACTCACATACAGGCACCTGCTTCATCGGGCTACATTCTTCACAAGATCCACCGCCCACGAAAGTGGAAAGTCAAGATGGTCACGTGTCAATTGGAGACGACAAACAGTTGGAAAAATAATGGGAAGCGAAGTTAAGCAAAGCAATCTCAAGCAATCAACATTCTGAAGGCATTCCGAAGGCATTCCGAAGGTTCATCAAGACCAACCACGCACCCAGAAATGAAACCGGCTCGCGGGAGATCTTCTGCAAACCTGGGCGTGTAAACTTGGATTGAGCAAAGGCTACATTGGGATACATTAGGAAACATTACGTTAAACAGCGTTACTTTAGGAAATGATGAACGCCATGAGTATTTGACTGAATTCGGCAATCTCTTGTGACTTGAATCTGCTTGACTCAGAGTCAGGGATAAATGGAAACAACGTGCATAGACTACACGAGAGAAAGAGAGGGACTTACTTGTGCTCAACCTAGTGAACCGTCACAAAAGTTTGCGAATTATATAATGCGAATTGTCTTCCTGATTTGGTGAGCACATGTGATGGTGTGAGCATTCTCTGAGGATTTGGAATGTTTGATTCCGAGCTGCAAGAGCACTAGTGCAATGGGGCGGGCTTTGCACAATTGGGATCTCTGCTACGCATCACCAGGATGGCTAAATTGCCAACATCGAAAAGCTGCAATGTACAACGCCACACAGTGGAATTCATTGATGGGGTAAGTTAGCAACATTCTGTTCTCAAGTGTGATTCTGCTTTGGATGTGATTTTTGCATATTTTTGCGTCTTTGAACTTAATTTCTTCAGCTTGTCCCAAACCATTGGGTAAGTGACTGATTGGCGTGTTCTCCGGCCATGACTGCAGATCTCAGAGACTGGGGCCAGTTGTGGATTTGTGCTTCGCTGGTCTCAGGAAGCTACAGCGGAGCATATGGAGGATGTTTTGAGGGAAAATCCACACATGCTGCCCGGACCAAATGAAGGGGTTCGGAAGGAATGCTGAGGAACATCCAAGCATGCCAGGTGCTGCAGATTCGTATCAGGAGGTAAGAGTGTTTACCTATGTTTACCTGATTTGACCTGCAGGCTAAGAGGCTGAGAAGTTCTTGAGGGAAGAGGTAAGGAGCTCAGACATGTTGGATGTCGCAGGATGTTTGAGACAAAAATAGTGTCACTGACCCGACATGCGTCAGATAGACCCGCATAGCGCGGACTCAACCACTCTTCACGCGCTCTCCGAGTTCTGATTTCAAAATATTTCAATTCAAAATAATTCAAACATGCAACTGTTTCTCCACTGATCCCAGCCTTTGGCTTAACAGTCTGGCGGTAGGGTTGTCGGTTTCAATGGAATCTCTTAGACAAGCAAACTCCATGTGACCGAAGATGGTCTATGCTTCTATGCTCGTTTCTTGCACAACCAGTTGACAGAACGCTTCACAAAAAAGGCATTCAGCTCATATAGGCGAATGGTTTATAATGATTTATAATATTTTATAATGTATTGTACTGCAATTGGTTTCAGTAGTTAGCAGGTTTTAGCTGGGGCCGCGGCATGCGATGGATGTCGCTCCTGGTGCCCCTTTTTTGGTTATTCGGACGTCCCAAGACTATCGCTACGACAATTTTTTGTCAATGCTCCAGGTCCAATGCGGCGATCTCTGGGCAAGCAAATTGGCTTCAAGACTCTTCAAGTTGGCTTCAACATGCTTCAACTAGTTTCCTAAAGTATCCTAAAGTAACGTGACAATTTTGCGCGCATTGTTCAGTTTCAACACGGTTTATGCCCTCATGTGCCAAGTGTATCCTTTTATGTGCCAAGATGTGCCAAGTGATTGGCATGATTCCGATTGGTCCCGACGGACCTAGGCGGCTTCCCGATTGACTTCATTTACCTGCCATGTCCTCGCGTGGGAATCATCAATTTTGTTAACCACGAGCTATGTTGGATGTGCTTTGATGTGATCACTCGGCGCATGCAGATGGGGACCATTCGCATTATCAAAGTTCAGCAGGCAGGAATTGTTGCATTTGATACCATTTGATGCCACAATCTTTTGCAACAACGACCAACAGATGCCTATATATCATTATATATCCTGTAGCCAGGCCAGAAGAAATGTTGACAAGAAATGCTAGAACTACACTACACTTCGAATTGACACATTGCAATGTAAGTTGCATCATAGTATGACCCAGTATGACCATGCATGACCCATATTGACTATGATATATTATGATCATTATGATCACTTAGACAGACAAGAGTTGCATCATCAAGGTGGCCTTCTCACACCACATCAAAGTCCCGTAGAATATCGTGGAATGCCCCAAAGTTGAGCTGTCGCACACTGCATTCATGTCCTTTAGGCATCTTTAGGCGATTTTAGACTCCTTCAGCATCCTCTCAGCCATGAGCTGACTTCTGCTGACAATTTAACAACATTCACTCTAGACCATACACGCAATTCCATGCCATTCCTGTCTATTCATACTCTCAATATCTCTCAATCATTCTCAGTCTATAAAGTACGGGATGATGGCAGTGGTGGCGTGGGGGCAGTCAGTGCCGCAAATTGAAACTTTGTAGAAACATGAATAACTGTGTAGATGATGTGGAAAAGACTCGAACATATCAGACTCTCTTGATGCAACATTTTGATACATTTTGCATCATTTTGCTTCAATAGCCTCTATGCTCCTGGCAGGCGATGTACCAGGGACTCCAGACCAACCTTGCGGTTTATTATGCCAAGGCCCGGCCATTGCAGAATATTGCAATGGAGCGCGCATCTGACGAAATGTGACCCATTGTGACAGCATTTCAGGTGACAGCATGTCACTCAGCATGTCTGATATTTTCAGAGCGAAAAAGCTTCAGGAAATTCTCTGTCACGTCTCAGGCTGGTCGTCGGGGACTTGAGCGCAAAAACGCACCGAAGGTCTTCCTGGAAGGTCAGGAGCTGCCCTTGCGGCAAGCCACTGGGCCGCGCACCAAAGCCATTTGGAAATGTATGTTTTAGGTGTCAACACCAGAAAGAGGCCATGCGCGTGTGGATATTTTGGGTGTGGGGGCGGGTGGGGGGTGGGGGTGAAGAGGGGCACTAGCGCCTAGTATAGATCAGCTGGAGTGTCTTCCCAAGACAGCTTCACACCCTTTGCGAATGCGTTTTGCGATTTCTCGACTCTGTGTGTCTAAAGTACTCTGCTGGCGCGAAAAAGTGAAGCCAAGTCATACGAAGTGCGGCACTTGTCACGCCAAACGATCTTAGCAAACCTGAAGATCTGATGCTCCAAAACGCAGTCTCTATCAGGAAATGAGCTCCTTACTTGTCTGATGGACATGTCTCTTGTACTGCGCCGGCCACACGACATGCATCTTTTCAGATCCTGTTCAAACGTCCCACGCCTGCCATCGTTTTTGAAACTGCCACGAAACCCGCACGTTTTGCTCCCTTTGGGCGAGGTAGAAAATCCATTGTGCCTGCATGTGCCTGCCGCGAAAAAAGACAGTTGAACGCTCAAAAGTGGTCCGAATGTGGTGTGTTTCTAACATTTTGACTTGGAAATTTGCTTCGCACCACAGCCGCGTGCGCTTTTTCGACATCTCACGCCCAAAAGTGTTCCGACAAAGAGGTGTTTTGAGCAACTTTGGCACGCTGGAAGCTGGTCCAGACCGCGACCCGCCACCTCGCAGCAAAAAGGCGCGAGAGAAAAAAACATTAAAAAACATCATTATCACTTCGAAACGTGCTTCGCGCCACAGCCGCGTGCAGTGCATTTTTTTCAACGGCTCAACTTCCAAAATCTTCCAAAAGTGCTTCGACAATGAGGTATTTTGCTGTGTCATTTTAATTTCGAAACGTGCTTCGCGCCACAGCCGCGTGCACTTTTCAAAGGGCTCACTTCCAAAAGTGCTCCGACAATTGGTGTGCTTTTAACATTTTGACCTCCAAATCTGCGTCGCGCCACAGCGGAGAGCAATGTTTGATCTCTCACCTGACGCCGCTTTAGCGAGCCTACTCTTCGACCCTCCGGAGCCGCAAAGCACTGGAAAACCACAGTGTTTTGCGACTTTTCTACCTTTTCGTGCGCCTGGGTCTTCTTTCTTCTGACTCTTTCTCTTCTCTGATTTTCTTTCTTCTGACTCTGACTCTTTCTCTTCTCTTCTCTTCTCTGATTCTCTCCACCTCTCCTTTTTCATCTGTCCATATTGTCGGAAATTTGATTTCTAATTTTCCTTCGGTTATTGTATGATATCTAGAGAAAACACGTTTAATATAATATGGATTATATAGTTGTATTAATTTGTAACGGCTGAATCTGGATTTATATATCTGACCCGGAAAGTGGAACCGATAAGAGACCAAGTTGGCCAAGCGAACGAGGCTTTGAAGAGCTTTGTGGCACCAGAGCTAATTCAGCACTACCGAGCATCTTTTCGATCGAGCACAGAAGCACCTCAGCTGAATATGACATAATCTGACAGGCAGTCCGAAAAAACCGTTGCCGACTTTGCCTTTCGCTTTGACTGTTTTTTTCAAATCACTTGCATGTGCTGGTACTTCATTATGCGACGAAGGCCATGGTCTCCAGCCATGGCAGCTCAATTAAACAAAATAACAAAAGGGGTTCAGCATAGTTCAGCATACTCCAACATGCCAAGCTACCTGCCAGCTATCTTTAGAGTGCTTGCTCAGGCGTCCGCCGCTCCGGGAAGTGAAAACCAGGATGGCCGTGGTTGGGCTGGCAGGACTGCTACCAGGCTGCTACCATATGCTCTACCATATGCGCAGAAATGAGTACAAGACTTACCTATCGATTTGCAATACTAGAGAAGTGATGCCAGGGAGGCGGAAACCGCAGGTTGTTGATGCCACCTGGAATGCAGCATGATATGCCATGATGCACCCTCATGCACCTCCCAGCTTCCAGTGCGCATGGCATATGGCCACAAATCAAACCTTTCAACCATCGCTTAAAATAACTTGACTGAAGGCATTTATAGCTGCAGTTTGAATCAAACCGCATCAAATCGCATGGGATGTGCCACATCAGGACAGCCCAGTCTGTGCCAGTGAATTTGCCGCCCGAGCAAGCCAGGAGGCTTGATGACACCCTCATGTGTCTTTTTCCCGAGAGCGCCTGCGAAGGGTTCTTCGTAAAAAAGCAGCCGTTGTAATACATCTTCACACCCTCACATCTGCAGATCTACATCTTCACACCTTCACATCTGCAGATCTACATCTTCACACCTTCACATCTGCAGATCTACATCTTCACACCTTCACATCTGCAGATCTACATCTTCACACCTTCAAATCTGCAGATCTACATTCTACATCTTCACACCTTCACATCTGCTGCTCTACATCTTCGCACCTTCATATCTGCAGCTCTACATCTTCACACCTTCACATCTTCAGATCTGCATCTTCGCACCTTCACATCTGCAGATCTTCTCACCCTCCTCTGTACTACCAGTTTTTTTTCCTGGGGGTTCAGTACTTTCTTTTTAAAAACACTATTTTCCAAAAATCTAGCAGACAGTGGGTGAGGGTCCCGGGGCATGATATGGGGCCAGGAATAAAATATCATACCAAAAAAGGCCCAGATTTTTTTTCCTGAAAGCTTCCTGACGTACAGCGACAGGAAATCAATTTCTGTCTGTTGTGATTGAGGGGGGGGTTGATATATCAGTCTGTGCATATAAGGTATCAGGAAATCAATCATGAATGACTCTGATAATGGGTAAGTTTGTAGAATTCCCAAGGTTAGTAGCCAGGAATTTGAAGGTGGATGGATCAAATGGGAGTTTACTAGAACATATCTAAATGTCAAACCCCAGGAAAAAATGTACCATGATTAATTGAGGGGGTATGATTCTTTACATGACTTTGCAAAAGGGTACAACCACATATGTTCACCTTCACCAACAAAAAAAGGTGACTTCAAGAGGCCGAGGCGCACGTGTCAAAAATAAAATTCAAGGGGCTGGACCTTTTTTGACTGAATACTTGCGGATGATCTTCAAAGGTTGGCCCCACAGGAAAAAAAGTCGCATCACCAGGCCAATCATCCACTGATAGGACATGATGGGACGAATTCAAGAATTTTGTGTCAACGCGCGCCCAAATTGCAAAACACATGTTTTTTTGCTGAAAATACAGTTGTCCTTGCAAAAGGGTACAGACACACATGTTCAGCTTCACCAACCAAAAAAGTGACTTGAAGAGGCCGAGGCGCAGGTGTCAAAAATAAAATCCAAGGGGCTGGACCTTTTTTTGACTGAATACTAGCGGATAATCTTCAAAGGTTGGCCCACAGGAAAAAAGTCGCATCTCCAGGCCAATCATCCACAGATAGGACATGATGGGACGAATTCAAGAATTTTGTGTCAACGCGCCCAAATTGCAAAACAGGCGTTTTTTTTCTGAAAATACATTTGTCCTTGCAAAAGGGTACAGACACACATGTTCAGCTTCACCAACCAAAAAAGTGACTTGAAGAGGCCGAGGCGCAGGTGTCAAAAATAAAATCCAAGGGGCTGGACCTTTTTTTGACTGAATACTAGCGGATAATCTTCAAAGGTTGGCCCACAGGAAAAAAGTCGCATCTCCAGGCCAATCATCCACAGATAGGACATGATGGGACGAATTCAAGAATTTTGTGTCAACGCGCCCAAATTGCAAAACAGGCGTTTTTTTTTCCGAAAATGCATTTGTCCTTGCAAAAGGGGTACAACCACATATGTTCAGCTTCACCAACCAAAAAAGGTGACTTCAAGAGGCCGAGGCGCACGTGTCAAAAATAAAATTCAAGGGGCTGGACCTTTTTTGACTGAATACTTGTGGATGATCTTCAAAGGCTGGCCCCACAGGAAAAAAATCGCATCACCAGGTCAACCATCCATAGATAGGAAATGATGGGACAAATTCCAACGCGTGGCCAAATTGCAAAACAGGCGTTTTTTCCTGAAGATACTGTACATTTGTCTATGCAAAAGGGTTGCGCATTGCCGTGGGCATCTGCCGGACCGCACCCGTGAAGCCGTGGGCTCTGAAAAGCTGCGAGCTGTCAGCCGGGAAGTCAGGTGCCAGGAATTCATTTTTTCCTGAATTCATTTTTTCCCGTATCAGATTGAGGGGGGGGAGATATGGCATGTTACCAACGCAAGCATCCAGGAAATATTTTTTTTTACTTGGATATCAGAGGGGTAAATTTATTGGATGTTGGACGTTGGGCACCAGGAAATTAGCAAAGAAAATTCAAAAAGGTGGTTGGAAGTGAGATTTCGGCTTCAGAGGTTAGGAGCCAGGAATTTAAAGCTCTAAAACCTCTCTCAAAGGATAGGGGTCATCATTTTAGACCGATTTTTTTCTAGGACTGTACCCCACGTTGGAGTACAGACGGGGATTCTTCTCTCTCTCGCTCTTCTTTCTATCTCTCTCTTAATTAAGGCGGGGGCGGTGCCGCCGGAGCGCCACGAAACGCAACCCTTTCGCACGAAATGGACGTTGGACGTCCAAAACCTATGTAAAATTGCGATTTTACTTTGTCCATCGCAACCCTTTCGCACGAAATGGACGGTGGACGTCAAAAACTGAGGTAAAATTAATTGCGATTTTACTTAGTCCACCGCAACCCTTTCGCACGAAATGGACGTTGGCCGTCAAAAACCTAGGTAAAATTGCGATTTTATTTAGTGCGCCGCAACCCTTTCGCACGAAATGGACGTTGGACGTCAAAATCTGAGGTAAAATTGCGATTTTATATACTTGGCCCATCGCAACCCTTTCGCACGAAATGGACGTTGGACGTCAAAAACTGAGGTAAAATTGTGATTTTATTTAGTGCGCCGCAACCCTTTCGCACGAAACGGACGTTGGACGTCAAAAACTGCGGTGACATTGCGATTTTGAGGTGTCAATCGCAACCCTTACACGCGAAATGAGGTTCGATCGCCAAAAACTGAGGTAAAATTGCGATTTGACGGGCCGCCGCAACCTTTTCGCACGAAATGGACATGGACGTCAAAAACTGAGGTAAAATTGCGATTTTGAGGTGTCAATCGCAACCCTTACACGCGAAATGAGGTTCGATCGCCAAAAACTGAGGTAAAATTGGGATTTCACGGGTCCGGTCTCTGTATGTGAAAGTGTTTGTGTGTAAAAGCTTCTGTGTGTGAAAGCTTCTGTGTGTAAAAGCTTCTGTGTGTAAAAGCGTCTGTGTTTGAAAGCGTCTGCGTGTAAAGGAGTCTGTGGTCTGTGTGTAAAAGCGTCTGTGTGTAAAAGCCTCGTGAAAGCGTGTGTGTGTGTACAAGCATCTGCGTGTAAAAGCGTCTGTGTGTAAACGCGTCTGCGTGTAAAGGAGTCTCTGTGCAAAAGTCTCTGTGTGTAAAAGCCTCTGTGTGTGAAAGTGTTCGTGTGTAAAAGCGTCTGTGTGTAAAAGCATCTGTGTGTAAAAGCGTCTGTGTGTCAAAGCTTCTGTGTGTAAAAGCGTCTCTGTGTAAAAGCTTCTGTGTGTAAAAGCGTCCGTGTGTAAAGGAGTCTGTGTGTAAAAGCTTCTGTGTGTAAAAGCCTTTGTGTGTAAAAGCGTCTGTGTGTAAAAGCTTCTGTGTGTAAAAGCGTCTGTGTGTAAAAGCGTTTGCGTGTAAAAGCCTCTGTGTGTAAAAGTCTCTGTGTAAGCGTCTGTGTGTAAAAGCCTCTGTGTGTAAAAGCCTCTGTGTGTGAAAGTGTTTGTCTGTAAAAGCGTCTGTGTGTAAAAGCGTCTGTGTGTAAAAGCGTCTGTGTGTGAAAGTGTTTGTGTGTAAAAGCGTCTGTGTGTGAAAGTTCTGTGTGTAAAAGCGTTTGTGTGTAAAAGCTTCTGTGTGTGAAAGTGTTTGTGTGTAAAAGCGTCTGTGTGTAAAAGCGTCTGTGTAAAAGCCTCTGTGTGTAAAAGTGTCTGTGTGTAAAAGCCTCTGTGTGTGAAAGTGTGTGTTTGTACATCTGTATAGATGTAAAACTTCTATATTGTGCAGGGGGGCAACAGCCCATCTTCCTATGTTGCCCAACGAAGCTACGGAAGATGTGGTGGATGGGTTCATGGACGCATGAACCTGTACCTGCATAACCTATATATATATATTTATAATATATATATATTTATAATATATATATATAGTCCCGCCCCTGGGCGCATATAAGCCGCAGCCGGGGGGGACATATATCTTATCGCTGTTGTTTTATACGGTCAATGTCTACTGTGATTATACCATACCCTCAACTACTAAAGGGTCTGAAATCATATACCGGGGTCTCTCCTGAGAGGGGGGTCTGGAATGGCATTTTTTCATATTAGACCCCACCCCCCTGATGACCCCAGACCCCTCAACATCGGTAGGTATCATCAATTTCATTATCATAATAGACCCCAAAACTGATGATTCCAGACCCACCACCGTTTAGGTCTAATATGATCAATCTCATTTTTGACAATTTGAGGGGGTGGTTTCACCCTAGACCCCTTTTGGGGTCTGGCATCATTCAACCCCCCCCAAAACTTCCTCCCACACGTGAGGTCTAAAATCTAAAACGTAAAAGGGGGGGGTTACAAAAAAGATATTAGGCCCTCCTACATTTTTTCACGTAACTTGATGTACAGTTTTCATGGGTTTCCTACGTTTTTGATTGTTTTTGCATGTTTTTGGGTGTGATTAAGATCTGTGTGATCTATTGTGATCTCAAAGTAGGCAATTGTTTATTCATTTTTTTTGGTTTGTGTTGGCTCATGGTGAATGGACCACTCTATCTCACGTAACTTG